ATGTTTTTGCTCTTCTCCCGACTGGTTTCGGCAAGAGTAGCCTGGCTTGTGGTTGTGTTTTCGTCGTCGGTCTGTTATTAAGTCATATGCTTCGTTGATCTGATTGGTTTATTTGGCCTCTCTATCACCAACATAGGCCATCAGCTAACCAGTATTTTCGCCCCTTCCCAAAATTACTTCAACGGAAGGTTTCCAGATGGATATGCGGAGCAAATCCATCTGGCTGAGTCGGTTAGTGAAAAGGTGACTTTTATTGTGTAATGATTGCAGCGTTGGGGCTGCTGTGGGAGATTGCCAACAGGAGAGTTAAGAAAAAGTGACCTTTTGGCGCATGATGGCTTGTTATTAGCTGCTTTAGATCACATCCTAACTCCTTTCTAACTTCCAGCCTTATTCAGACAGCACTGACTCCCACTTCGTCGTAAAGGTAGAGTGAAATATGTTCTTTTTCCAGATGGACAATCAAAATAAGCGGTCCTCCTAATTGTCAATCATTCTGGTGATATGTTAAAAAAAACTAAGCATTAACAGAGTCCTGCACATGGACAGTCATTAGCTGTTTGCTCTACCAAAGGGATGGGGAGCAGGTCCACGTCTCTCATACAGGGGACCTGGGTTCGAAGCCTGGGCCTATTCAGGATAGGGTCCCTGCCAAGTCCATCTTCAATTTTTAATGACTTTCTGTGGCAACCCCTGCATCAGGGATTGATTTTATGTTCTACTTTTTGAGTTTTTTACAGCACTAGTGGCTTGTTTTTTCAGGAGTAGGCTGACAGGAAAGTTGAGTGTGAGAGAGGGGGTCGATTTGCCTGCAATGTAAACGGAGCCATAGCGTTTTACCAAAACCGCCTGAAGCATGCATATGGGAACTTTTACACTCTTATTTTTCCTTTTTAATTGTTGCCTTTTGTTAGAAATAAAACAGATTTATTTCTGAAGTTCTAGCGGTGCATCATGAAGATAAAGTGAAGAATTATTAGTGAACACATTTGCACCAAACGCTGAGAACATTATGCAACACTTGATGATGTGTTTACTTCTTGCAGGCTACAAGGCGACCATCAGTGCTCCACACATGGTAAGACTGACTGAGCTGGACTGGAAGCACCTGAGATACACACAGAGTTAGGAAGTTTGTCATTTCTGGACATGCAAACGTAAAATGAAACGTGTTTCTGTCGCCAGCATGCACATGCTCTGGAGCTGCTTAGCGATAAACTAATTGAAGGGGCGTCTGCATTGGATGTCGGCTCAGGAAGCGGCTATCTTACTGCCTGTTTTGCAAGAATGGTATGTTTGACATATAAACTGTTTAGATGAGGGAAGTTCACAGAACAACTGAAAGTAACAGATATTTTTCTTCTGTGGAGGGTAGACGGGACCCAGCGGTAGGGTGGTTGGCATCGAACACATTGATGAACTTGTTCAGAAGTCGATAAAAAATGTGCAAAGTGACGACCCAGAATTACTTTCATCTGGACGAGTAAGATTTGTAGGTGGGTCGGGAAACTTTAATACTTTGATTTTCATTTGTCTTAAATTTCCTAATAAAACTGCTTTGCTGCAAGTGTCATAATCCCATCTGTTCACAGTTGGGGATGGAAGACATGGGTATCCAGATGGAGCACCGTATGACGCCATTCATGTTGGTGCAGCTGCAGCTACTGTTCCCAAGACTGTAAGTTGGATCATATTTAACTATTTTATAATAAATGATTCCCTGACTCAGCTGTAATGTATTTTTACATTTCTTGTTAATTTTATGTTACATGAATATACATTTAAAACAAGGTATTTCCATACAGTAAAGAAAAACTATTTGACATTTTATTTGATTAACGACTCCTCACTTAGTTTAGTAAGGATTCCAAAAATGTATTGCATTGGCTAAAGATGCAAATAAAAAGAGAAATAACATTTAAAGGGATTTCGATACTACTTTCTAGAAAGGTAAATAGCAGGTATTAGTTTCAGATGTTTTTTTGTTTTTTTGTTTTTTTAATCGTAGAAATTATTTTTATTATTCTGATAATCTGCCTAAAACAGTTCTGGAAGGTGCATTCTTCCAGCTCCATTAAAAAAAAAGACCATTAATTCACTCATAGAAATTAATTAGACAATATGCTGATTTACAGAGATTTTTAATTATTTTAAGAGCTATTTATTCATGATTTAAGCCACTAAAATTGAACATTTAGCACAACAGCTGTTAATTAAAGATTATTATTGTTTCTTTATTTGGATTAAATCAGAGAAATTAAAAAATGGTCAATGAGGGAAATGCTCAGGAATCAGGTGAATGTTGTTTAAATATAGAAAAGGGAATAATAATACTATTACTGTAGATAAAAGTAAAAGATAAAAGATAAAGATAAAAATGTGGGTTTTTTTTCACAATGCTCTAATAAAATCAAAGCCTTGTGAAATTACTGTTTGTACTAAAGAAATCTGCTAACATTGTAGAGTTTAATGAATCTAAAGTTAAATTATGATGGTTTACTTTAAAAAGCTTTAATTTGTAAAAGCACAAACATATAGTCATTAATATATGGATACTTTGACACATTCTGTGAGATGTGTTATTGTTTGGCTTATCTGAGAGGGTTTTTTTTGTTTAGGGATGTTCTTGGTGATTAAAGATGGAAATAAAATGTGTTTGAAAGATGAAATTTGGGGTGTTTTTTGTTTTAACGCCATTTTTTCCTTTTACAAAAGCTGTTGGAGCAGCTGAAGCCAGGCGGCCGACTGGTTCTTCCTGTGGGCCCTGAAGGTGGCAGTCAGGTGCTGGAGCAATACGATCGACAAAGTGATGGCACCTTCCTGAAGAAGGCGTTGATGGGAGTCATTTACGTCCCCTTGACTGACAAAAGACACCAGTGGCCAGGGTAAGAAAAAAGCCTCTGCTTCAAATTCTGAAACCAACAGTGAGCGATTCACCACCATGCGTGACCCTTTCTTCTTCCCCTAGAGATGAACTCTGATTGCAGTTTGGTTGCTCCTGCAGGAGGTGGCGTTGCTGCTGCATCCCTGGGCTCCAGTAGTTCTCCTCACAGTCTATCTCAGTTCCTGTATTTGCTATCGTTTTCTCCACTGGGTTTGCACCTAGCAACGAAGAAGGAGGATCATGCTCTCTTCACCTGGACAGATTGTTTAAATTAATAAGTGATAGAATAAGAGATCACCATTTTACTGGTTAACCTCCTTGTAAAGTTTTTAAACTGAGCTAATCAGTCACACTGATGTGAAAGAAGGGGGTTTATTTATTGTGATGCTTGTTAAACAGTAAACTGTAAATTCTAGAAAAGTGACAAACTCAGAGCATTATAAAAAATACTGTAATTAGAAACTCTTTGCATGTTAATATGATCTATTTTGCAGAAAGCAGGTGTGTGCCTACTTTTTGGAATGACCGTCAGAAATGGCTTGTGAAGAGAATTATGTGCCATAAACGGTTGATTTTAAACAATAGAAATATTGGAATGAAGTGTATAAATCATATTTCTTAATAAAACGAAAAAAAAAAAAAGCTATTTTTAATTGACATCTCTCTTCATTGAAAATATTACATGATAATAACAATAATGATTATTTCTAATATTCTTTGTTATAACTGTTTCTGTTTTTAATAACATTAGATATTTTTTTTATTAAACTAGTAGGCCTAGTAAAAACACAAAAAAGGTCCGGGGTTATAAAAAGACATCTTTTATTTTCCTTTGGAGCTGGCTCGGAGCTCGTCTGCCTGACTGTGTGTTTCCTGGACGGGGCCACCTTTTACAGCTGCTTTTTGTATCTCTGCTTCTGTCTCCTTGAACCCCAGTCGGCCTCGGCAGATGGAGGTTTCTTCCTGTTAAAAGAGAGTTTTTCCTCTCCACTGTCACTACCAGCATGCTTAGTGTGAGGGAAAGCCTTTGAGTCAATGAGTCAATGCAATCAACTGGTTTTCCTTAGATGGAAAACTTTGAATCAATTTGACTGGATGATCCATGTGTTGAGAATCGGCACCATATAAATAAACTGAATTGAAAAAACTTTTTGTGCTTCTTTTAAAATTCCCAGCACTTAAATGTCAATACCAATAGTTTTGAGATGCTCTTATAATGCTGATTTTTTTTTTTTTTATTATACACAAAAGAGACCTTGTTTAATTTACATTTTATTTAGTATTGCATGTTTTTGCTTTGTTTCCTGTTTGGTTGCTGGGATCTTGCTAAAAGTTTAATACTGACACAAAGACATAATGTGGCAGTATTTGGAGGTTTCTTCCTGTTAAAGGGGAGTTTTTCATCTCCACTGTTGCTAAAAGCATGCATAATGTGAGGGAATTCCTTTGAGTCAACTGGTTTACCTTAGATAGAAATTTTTGAATAAATTTGACTGTATAATCTGGTAAACTGTTATGAATTGGCACTATAGAAATAAACTGAATTGAATTTGCAAATTAGCATGATTAATTCAAACAAATGAGCTGTTTTTGATCAAAGTCATATTCACCAAAATAAAATTAAACATATACTAACAGCAAATAAACCGTTTAAACAATTTTATATGTCAAACATTTTACGTTCATAAATCTGACGGAACTACAACTCGCGCATATAACGACGTCATCACTGTGCGTCCACGCTAGCAATGCATGTGCGTGGATCAGCTAGAAGTTCTCTGTTGTTGTCTCTGTTCCCGGTTCCCAAAAGTCACCTCACGGGTTTTGTTTGTTGCTTTATTCCTTCTCGTGACATTATCAGAACTTTGAGCGGAAAGTTTATTCATCTGTGGTCTCGACGGGGGACAGAAACGATGGAGCAACCGGAAACAGTCCCTGAAGCAGCGTCCGTGGGGGACACCGCGGAGACAGAGGACGCAAACACCGGGAAACGCAAACATGAAGAGGCCGACCCACCGGAGACAGGCGGCCGAGGGAAGAGGCGAAGAGGAGCGGGAGGGAAGAAGCTCCGTCCCGGGGAGAGGTACATCCCACCGCCCCAGAAACGTAACCCGGGGATCAGCTTCAGCCAGGAGCATTTCAAAGAAACGTCCTACTACTTCGAAGGCGGCCTGCGGAAAGTTTTTCCTTATTACTTTGACTTCAAAACCTACTGCAAAGGCAGGTGGATCGGTAAGAGCCTCCTGGAGGTTTTCAAGAGCGAGTTCAGAGCGGAGTCCATAGAGTACTATGAGAGGGCAGCTAAAGAGGGCCGCATTCGGCTCAACGAGACCCCGGTGGAGGACCTGTCCGTGGTGCTCAGGGTCAGTGCTTCACTTTCTCACTTTAGCTCCATGTTACTCCATCATATTAGTCACGTGTCTGCCTGATGAAGCCATAAATATGTTTGTTTTTTCTCTCTCTAACCCCCTGACATTTATTGAGCAGGGCTGGGAGGTATAGACTTTAAATCTTATCACGATATTTTGTGGTACTATCGCGATAACAAAAGTCGTTCAATTCATTTTATTTATATAGCGCCAATTCACAGCACATGTTATCTCAAAGCACTTTACAATTTAACCAGATCATACAGTCACATTGATTCAAAGTTTTCTATCTAAGGAAAACCAGTTGATTGCAGGCAATCCCTCACACTAAGCATGCTTGTAGCGACAGTGGAGAGGAATACTCAGTTTTAACAGGAAGAAACCTCCTCAAGAACCAGGCTCAGGCTACATTCAGATCCGATTTTTTTTTGGCCCATATCCGACCTGTATCTGATCTTTTCTTGGCAGTCTGAAAAACACAGATGAGTTTTTCCAATGTGACCCAGGCTGCTTGGCTATGCGGTCCTGAATCCGATACGAATCTGAGCTTTTTAAATGCGACCTGTGTCTGACCTGAACGCCATTAATACCCGACAAAGGTCACTACTCTGGGTCTTGCTATGATAAGCGACAAGAAAAACAACAACCATGGAAGACGATGATGCGGAGAGCAGTATTTATGCTTAACTATCTTTAAAAGATTAGTTTTTATGGTTGGGGAGATCACTAGATGCACTCAGAGCACGCTGACCTGTGACGTCGTTGTGTCCTCTACTGCGCATGCGGGACACTTGCGTAGTATGACTGCAGTTCACACAGGAGATCACATAGAAGTCGCATATATTTGGAAATGTCGTAGCACAAAGAAATCAGATTTCTCAAAAAAATCAGAATTGAGCATCAAGGCCTCTATTGTGAATGTCGCCTCAGTATGAGCGGCCATCTGCCGAGGCTGACTGGGGTTGAAGGAGACAGAAGCAGACACACAGAAAGAAGCAGAGATACAAAAGGACGTCAGAGGATGAAGAAACATCCAGTTAGTCACAGTCAGAGAAACAGGACTACACTGAAAAAACAGTCCGATCTCCAACATCTATAAACAGAGGTGTTGGTAGCAGCAGCACAGCCGATATTTCTCTCCAGGAGGGGGTCACCGTCAATCCTCTATCATTATTTATCATTTATAAAATAAATCAAATTCTTATGATGAGAATTTGATTACAATAACGATAAACTTTAAGATAAATGCCTGCCCCATATTCAGTGGCTGCCAGGCTCAATGACTCCGCCCTACAGCAGCCCTTAACAGCTTTAAACCAAATAACAAACCAGAGATCACAAAAGGTGTGTCTCAGTTAATAAGAGTATATTTTTTTCAGCTGATAGGCATTTAACATGGAAATAACACGGCCAAAACTTGTGATGATGCAACAAACAGCTCATCCAGCACAGGGGATGCGGTAAACCATCAATGTGATGAATTGGATCTAATTTTAGGACTTTAAATTTAAACCTGTCATAGAAATGATCAATTGTTGTTTTGCACTCTGTGTTTAATACTTCTCCATATGTTTAATTACTTAATTCAGTTTACTGATGTTATTTAACCTTTAATATCTGGATATGATGACATGAAAGAAAGGCTGATTTCAGCTCTGCCTCTATCTGGACAAATGACTTCCATGGTGCAGCTCGTGTTATTTCTCCTTTACTCCTTTAATGCTGTTATGCTCCAGGTGATATGCTGTGTTTTTTTTCTAATCGGACAACTTCTATATAAAAATACTCAGCTGGTGTTATTCTCATTCAATCTAAGATGTTTTTAACCCAGTTTCCAAACCAAGTTTGCATTTTAAGCAGGCTTTTTTATCATATTTAAATCCAAATAATCTGGAAAGCTCTAATGTCCTGGGGGTGCACATCACAGACATCCTCACTGGTCAAAAGGGCACAAAAGCGTATTTACTTCCTGAGGAGGTTAAGGAGAGCCCACCTGCCCCCACCCATCCTCACCACCTTCTACAGAAGCACCATAGAGGGCATTCTGACCAGCTGCCTCAGACTTGAAGAAGGTGAGGGGAGTAGAGAGAACAGGAGAGAGGATCATGGGGGCTCCTCTTCCCTCCATAAAAGACGTTTCATCCCAGCGCTGCGTGTCCTGAGCCCGTAACATCATAAATGACCCCTCACACCCCCACCATGGACTGTTCTCCCTGCTGCCCTCTGGGAAGAGGTTTCGAAGCATCTGATGCATTTTTAGCAGAATCCTAAACAGCTTCTTCCCCACAGCCATTAGACTGCTTAATGTTGCATAAAATGGGGAAAAACAAAAAACGCTGAATGTTGGAAAAACTTTAAATTATATACCAGTCTTATGTTTATACTTGATCACTGCTGCACTTAAGAAATAGAAATGTCTTGAGAGCTGTACTGAATGAAATTTCATTTTATGTACACCCTGCATGTACAAAAAGTCTAATAAACCCTTCAGAAATAGAAAATAGTTTTGTTGGATAATTGCATGGATAAATATGTATAATTGATCAGAAAAAAGGAGAAAGAAATGTCTCTAAATGTTATAGTGAGTGATCCAGTGTTTATTTTCACTCTGATTCTCTGTAGAATAACGACCACATGAGGAACACTGTGCACCGCCATGAGCCTCCTGTTATTGGCACGCCCCTGGAGATCCTGGTGGACGATGGGGAGGTGCTTGTAGTTGACAAGCCGGCCTCTATCCCCGTCCATCCCTGCGGTCGTTTCCGCCACAACACTGTGATTTTCATCCTGGGTAAAGAGCACGGCGTCTCTGAGCTCCACACCGTCCACAGGCTGGACAGGCTCACCTCTGGAGTCCTGCTGTTTGCCAGGACGCTGGAGAAATCCAAGAAACTAGACCAGATGGTGAGAGACAGACAGGTATGTTGAGGATGGAATTTTAATAAAGCTTCTCTGAGCTGTTCTTGGCGTTCACTGAGATTTTTGTTCTTATTTTAGCTTGAGAAGGAGTACGTGTGTCGAGTGGAGGGAGAGTTCCCTGAAGGCGAGCTGATCTGTGAGGAACCCATCCTGGTCGTCTCTTTTAAGATCGGCCTCTGTCGGGTCGATCCGAAGGGAAAGGAGTGCAGAACCGTGTTCCAGAGGCTCAGCTTTAATGGAAAAACCAGCGTAGTCCGCTGTCTACCGCTCACTGGCCGCACCCACCAGATCAGGGTCCACCTGCAGTACCTGGGCTTTCCTATCCTCAACGATCCCATCTATGGGTCCCACGCCTGGGGTCCTCACAGGGGCAAGGGGGGGCTGGTTGGGAAAAGTGACGAGGAGCTGCTGCAGGCTTTGGTGGAAGAACATCGCTCCCAAGAAGATTTACACCTGCTAGATCTAATGGGGGACTGTGTCGGGGTCCAAAGGGAAGCAGAGAAGGTTGAGAAAACAGACTTGACTCAAGCAGAGAATTCATCTGAGAAAGAAATCTCCAGCAAAGCCTCTTTAGAAGAATCTCAGAGCCTTGAAACAGCAGATATAGTCGGGAACCAAAGCAAAGCAGCAGATTCTACTCAGAAAACTCCTCCAGGAACCCGAGACCACCTGTGCAGTGAATGTAAGCTGGTGCGTCCGGACCCCACGAAGGAGGAGCTCGTCATGTATCTGCATGCTTTACGCTATAAAGGACCAGACTTTGAATATTCCACACAGTTGCCAGACTGGGCCAAAGAGGACTGGCAGGACACCGGTTTCAGCTGATCTGTTCCTGTCTCCTTTTTATTATTTGTTTTTCTGATCACAAATCCTGAGTTTTATCTTCAAGGTTCCTGTTTTATTTTTCTTAATTTATTACTTACTGTAGTTATTTGAAGAAGTGGAGTTAAAATGAATTACAGGTTTGGGGGTGTATATTTACTTTGAGAACTGTTGTACTAAAAGATCAACTTTAAAGGCCCCAGTCTGTCTGCAAACTTAAATCTTAAATTTCTTGCCTAGAAATGTGTGTTTTATTTCAGGTTTATGAAAAAATAAATGCAATTTGGTTTCAGGATTTTGCAGATTACTCTCAATACCTTCCTTCCCACCTTCTTTTCCTTTTTTTCTCCCTTATTTCCTATCCCTCTTCATTACGCTTTCTTTCCCCTTTATTCCTTTATTTCCTTTCTTGCTACTTTTCGTCTCTGTGTATCTTATTCTGTTCTCTTGCCAATTGTTGCTTCCTTTCTTCCTTCTTTGCTTCCATTTTCCTCCAGTATATATCACAATCAAAGACTAAAATGCATCTGTAGGAAACATTAGAAAAAAACAGTTTGCTCCAGGAAAATACATTTTATTTCCTTTTTGTGAGAAGTTGACAACAGACAGCTGGATGTGATGGTGCTGCTGAGGTTTCCTTTCCATGACAGTAAATAGCCTGATTGTTCTTTCTTCTGTTTAAGGCAGGTTATTCTGACTAATTCAGAATGAAAGCTTTAAAAAAAAACTTTAGTCACACATCTGAACACATGTTATGGAAATCCCTCAAAGGTTTCATGCTGAACCACATTAAAATCAACTTTATCACCTCAGTTTTTTTTACAGTCTGCATCGTTTAAAGTAACATAAATGCATCTTATTTTATGTTGTACAAAGCACACACTTTGAATCCAACAAACAACCAGTTAAGAGACATTTGAAGCATGTATCAGATAGAAAATACCCAAACTTTAGAAGCTCACAATGCTCTGAGCTTCCAAATGCTATGTGCAGAACCTGGGCTCTTTCATGCATAAGATAGAAAACAGGTGGATTGTTAATTTTTTATTCTATGTAAGAGCATTGTAATGTTATATGCAGAAATGGCCCAAATTGTGCACATTGCTGATCTAAAAAAAAAGTATTTGCCCCCTTACAGATTTGTTGTATTTTAAATGTTATTCATACTTGTGTCTTGTCATTGCAGAACTTAAAGAAAATTGCTTATATAGCACTTTTCTGACAACATGAGATGGGATTTAAAAAAATCTAAAAAAGCCAAATCTGGCTGGTGGGAAACACGACTGTTCATATATGTAGGAAGGGTTAAAAAGCCAATTCCAAGGTACTGGTGAAAACATCGTATAATAATGAACCCTCCCAGGAGCGGCTTGCCTACTGGATTGACTCCAAGAGAGCTTATCCAGGAGGTCACATAGGAAATAAGAACATCGACTGCATTGAAGACTTTAGTTTCCTTGGATTAGCTGTCTGGTTTTTTTAAAGACACATTTCTCCGATTAGCAGCAGGAAAACCCAAAGCACAGGAAGTCTGCGTCTAAATGAGCGATTTTAAGATTTTTAATCAATGCAGTTTATACATGATCCTATGCAGCGATATCATGCTGGAAAACCCTAACCTGGTAAAATGGAATGATAAACTAAGATTTTTTTTTCTATGAATTGTTAATCTGGGACTGGCCCCATTAGATCTGTCAGAGGAAGGAGGAACGTTCAGCAGAACCTTAAGAGCTGATTAGGTGAAAACACTCCCAGAGCCCGCCCTCAATTTGATTCACTTTATTTGGCGCCAATTCAAAACATGTCTATTTACAGAGACAATTCAACCTGATCATACATTCACAGTTTGGTTTTGGTCAACCATGCTAAAAATGATTATAAACAACATTTAGATTCCACCCTGTTGCTGTTCCTTTTTCAATGATGAAATCCCAACTGTATGTCCCACCTTAAACCATCATACTGCAACATGATTGGCCGGCCCATTTTGAGTAGATCTCTGACGGTTTAAACTGGAGGGGGTTTAGATCACAGCTGCATTTTCACATTGGGCCTGCCTGGTTTCAGTGGTTCCAGTTATTAAATGAGGCCAGCTTTTAAAATCTGCATTTGACTTTAACTCAGATTATCTTTAATGATAAAACCTGCTGGATGAAACTTAATTGTTGGACAAAAGCAAACTGTAAGAAGTGCAAATACTTAATCACATCAAACACATAAATACAGGCTATGTATTAAACTGTATATATTTTAATGTTTAACATTATAGATAGGCTCAGACATACTGGGATTCCTTAAAATGTTATAATACGTGTCAAATTTCAAGTGGAAACAGATTTATCTCATAATTGTTGGGGAAATAGAGTAGTTTAGAAGATGAGAGTTTATTATTTTTTTTTGACACTGACACATCGTAGGCAAACAATAAACATCTGAGAACACAGAGTGATACACTGGTACTCATCCGAAAACACTGCACAATTAAAGTGACGATCGTTCATCAATAATCAATCTAAATACAACTTTCTTCTAATATTAAATCGTTGTTTTTTTATATAATAATTTCTCATTGACTCTCATTTGATATTTAGATACCCTGTTGTTTTCCAGTGAACTATTGCTTAGAAACTCAGAGGTTTGATCCGCTGAGCTTGTTTTCTCCAACAGAAATCCCACCTTCGGTCATCTGGTTCAGCATCAGCTACCTGACAGCATCGGCTTAATTTACATTGAACAAAACAAAAAACAAAAGCACTTCAGTGTTTGCAAATGTAAAATCTCTCCATGTAAACTACCATTAGGAAAATAAATACAACATAAAACATAAAACAGCCCATAAATATGCAACAAAGAATCAGCCACCTCCAAGACCAACATCGACTTTCTATCATCAAGCACCTCTTCTATCTATTACTCCAGCTTTGTTTGCATTGGACTGTTTACTTCTGTACTAACAAATGGCTTTTATTATAACTTTAAGTAAAAATGGCAGTTTCTTATAAAACGTACAAATGAGGAGTCGTTATTTAATTATTTTAAGATATAAAATAAATAGCTTATTTGACAAAGGAAAGTATCATGTAGTTTTTTATGAATAGTATATCAGTATTATTGCTTTTTATGAAGTAATACTGGAAGAATAATAAACCAATATTGTCAATAAGTCTGTCTGCTCCGGTCAAGGTTACAGTCAGCTGCTTAACAAACATGCTGATTTTTCACAAATATTATTTCTTTGTAAGAATATTACACTTAGACAGCTCTATTTGTCTTCCTTATAAGCAAGGTAAATATAGTTTTCAGCCAGCTGACCAACAGTGAGCAGCAACAGGTGGGGGAAGGGGTAACGCTGCTCCTTGATGTGCCATACAGCCAGAGAAAACTTGGCTCACGCTTGGATCCAACGGAACCAAACCCCATGGATGATAAAAAAAAAAAAAAAAAAAAAACTTTAATACTAGAATTGGCAATGATGCACAGTTTTCAGCAGTAAATACACTCTAAATGTACAGCTCAGGATACTATACATTCCCTTTGACATTTAACCACCCTCTAAGTTATCTATACAAACCAAATAAAATGAGTAAGGAGCTTTCATTATGCAAGAAAGTCGAAAATTCAATATTCAAGTAGATTCATATTTGATTATGTAAAAAAATAAGATGCTTAAAGATGAAACTTTAAGATCTTTTCGGTTTTAAATATAATTTTGTTTAATACCTTCATGGTTTTTTATGAACATAATGAGAAACAAACAATGCCGCTAAGAAAACCAATAAAATAGGCTGCAGGTGTTTCCTCATAATGTCTGTAAATCCATTTCTTTTTTAGGTTTTGAGGTTCAAAAGCCTCAGGCACACAGTCTGCAGGCAACCGCTGCAGTTATTTGGAGATTTTTGTGATAATGACATGCAACAGCATTGATTTCAACCGATGCAAACTGGTACCTTTTTATTCAACTCTACTTGGTTTAAAGTCAGGCTTTGATTGGAGCATTTTCTACGAGGTCCAGTGCTCAGAGACAACCTTAAACCTACATTAGATAAAACATGATGTCTTTCTTCATGTTTACAGTTGGCCCATTTCCTTATTCATGTAATATAAATCCAACAGCTTACGTTTTTTTTCTATTCATTTTGTAAAAACAGTTATAAGTTTTATAAATTAAGAGCAACAAATGCACAGTGTTTGCAAAAAGTTTCTCGACAGATTTAAACTGTATTAATAGATAGATTTTTTTCTCCTGTTTCCTGAAGGCGATTAGTTTGAGTCATGAACCAGAAGCTCCTGTTTATAAAGTTAAAGTCAGTGACACTAAACACGTAATTGTTAATAGATTTGTAAGTACTTGAGGCCACCCTCTCCTCTCCTTCCTCTCCTGTCTCAAAGCAACCATCTTTTCTCTCCAAAATTAGCAAGGAGCAAATTGCTTCTTTAAAATAGTCCTTAAAACATAGAGGAAGTATTGAATCCTAACCTTGGATGAGTGGGGGAATCATTTTACCTATAAGGTTCAGTTTCAGTGGTTTTGCCAACAGCGTCTTATAAGTTGGACATTTCTACCACATGATCAGAACAGGAAATGGGAGATGAAATGCCTTTAGGAAACAAGAAAAAGACCAGATGTCTTCAAATTAAGCACCTTGGACTGAGATGTAGCTTAAGGAGCTACGGCAGCGACTTTCTTAGCATGCATCCTCCCGCTGTCCGTCTCGCTTTATCCAGACATCTGGTAGGTCCGGTCTGCTGTTGGGCAGGATGACCACTTCTTCACTCCGACTGCTGCGGTCTTTAGTCTCATAAACCGTTTCCTTCAGTGAAAGCCTCAGTGTGTCTCTCTTGCCGTTGAGGTGTCCCGGCTGCAGCTGAACCTCCTCCTCTCCATCGGGCTGCTGGGGGGTTGAAGACCCCACTTCAATGTCACTCAGATGTGTTTCGCAGGAGTCGTCCAGTCCTTCATAAGAGCTCTGAGACTGTAGGTGCTGATAGCGACCCTCCTTTGTGGGATTTTTATATTTGCACAAAGACTGCTGGTCAATGGTCTCCATTGTGTGGCTAATGATGGTTTCCTCAATGCTTGACGATGAAGAGTAAGATGTATTGCTCCACTGCTTCCCCCCAACTGATTGACCCCTGCAGGTTTTGCACAGTAGATTTCCAGTAGCCGCATCATCCTGCACCAGGCCTGCTTGGCGAAGGGTGTTTTCTCTGTAAGGAGATGATGTTTGGATAGCTGATTGGTAGATCTGATGACTGCGCATTTCCTCACTGCCCTTTTCCATATCCTTCTTGCTCGCCTCTATGCCACAAAACTCAATTTCATCTGAGAGCACAGAGGGCCGGTTGGACAGCTTACTGGTGCAGGTGCTGTTCTCAAAGCTGTCACTGAGGCGGTAAGCCAGAGGCTGCAGCTCGTACTGCTCTGCGCCCTTGTGCAAATCGGCTCCTCCTCCGCTCTGTTTGTGTCTGTGCTGACGCTGGTGGTCAGGGTAGAGGTAACCACCTGCCTCTTTGTCATAACTCCTCCTCTCTCTAGATCTGGCAAAGGCACCGTTGGCAGCCGAGGCCGGCGAGGGACCGGGCTCGGAGCAGGAGGTCAGCACGCCGTCTGTGTCCTCTGAAAAGCATGGCAGGGTGATCCTTCCACAGTTCCTCCGTGGCCCGCAGAAGCAGCAAAGCGACTGAAAAAAGAAGGTTGCGAATCCACATGCCACACATTTCACCAGGAACAAGAAAATCCCAATTTTTCTTAAATGTAAGGCAGTGGCAGGTAACATGACAATACCCATGGAGAAAAACGCTCCGGAAACTATTGCTACAGGGCATCCCATCCTTTTAGTGGAGTGTGCCACTTTTCCTATCTTATCCGAATGAGGAGCTAAGCTGTAGGACACAGAAAAGTTAACAACAAAGTCAACAGACAACCCTGCAGCCGAGGATATGAGTAGAGCCTCGACGCCACTAAGCTGCCACTCAAGAAGGACGAGGAGGCCAACGGTGACGAACACACTCCCTCCAACAGCAACAGTTGCATATAAACTCAGTGGAATATTCCAGGTGGTTATGAGCAGCAGAATAAAGGTGAGAGCTACTGAGAAGCCAGCAACCAGCAGAGTCTCTGAACTTAGAGACTGCTGTAGATCAAAGAGAGACAGCTGGCTGATGAACCAGCCGTTCTCCAGCCCTCTTGGTGCTCCTGCTATTTCTCTGTTGAACCACGTTAATATTTCCCTGTAAAAACCACTGGTTCTGCTAAAGTTAAAGCTATAGAGGTGGGTGGTCTGGAAAGTCAAAACAAGGGCAGCGACCCGCCCGCCCGGCTGAAAGTACAGCCCTCCACCACTTGGATGGTGGCCCTCTGCATGTTTCTCCGCCAGCATGATATTCAGACAGCTTTCAAAAATGCTTGGAGGGTAGGGAAAGGGGATGTTACAGCAAAGATGAAGGGCATCGCTGCTTCCTGAGCATCGTCTGAGAGATACCCAGCGCACCAGCTGCTCTACCAGGCAGATATTATCTGTCGTGACATCTTTGCTTTCTGGTGAATAAGCAGAGTAAAAGCTTTGATTCTGGACTCTTACACACAGATCTCTAAGCCAGATCTGAGCTTCAGGCCTGCTCATGTTAAAGTCAGGGTCAAAAACCAGGGAGCCATTGCTCTGTGGGTTAAAGTGATCCCCATTATCTGTCGGTTTGATGCCCCAAACCAGCAGGACAGTAACAGGTTTGTCTTCTCCATTCCGCTGCCTTTCAAACATAAACATGTGACGGTATTCTGCGTCGTATCTCTCAAAAGGGTGGCTGGAGCGGAAAAGCTGGGTGACCCAGCTGTCGAGTGTGGGTAACGTCATGCCAGGGTCAACGCAGGACATATACGTGCCGCCAGTGGCAAGCACTGCGAACCAGCACACCCAGATGTAGCGAAACTTTACAACTCCGCAGGGCAAGATCTTCAGAAACAGCAGGTTTGATGTGTCTGCAATGCCTCGTTTTAGTTCCTTCAGCCTCTGCACGACGCTGAAGATACATTTCTTACGGGAACTTGTTTCCCAGAAGCCTCCTGGATTGTTGGAGCAGCAGGGCTTCCATGTTTGCACCGCCGCAGGCATAGCCGGGGCCTTCCTGGAGCGCTCTAGGAGGATGAAAGAACAGGGCAGCCATACTAACGCCAGCAGAGAGCTGATGAAAGAAGCAGTCCCAAGATAAACAGAGAAACATCTAATAGCTGTGATGCTGCTTAGATAACCGGAAAAAAATGCTGAACTGGAGGTCAGGCCTGAAGCTAGGATCAAATAGCCTATTTCCTGTAGGGCTCTGTTTACTCTCTTCTCCAGAGAGGCTGAAGGGTTTTGTGTTTGTTGCAGATTCCAAAAGTCTGTAAAGATAAAAACTTGATTGGAGCAACTTCCTAAGAGGATCAGAGCTGCCGCCAGGTTGACAACTGGGAAGAAAGTCAGACGAAAAACTACTTTATAGAAGAAATACGAGGTAAGGAGAGAGCCTGTGATTGCCAGGACAGATAATGCTACAATGAAAAAGGACTGGAGATATAAAACCATTGTGAACAAGAAGGATACGATAGCAAGGACTGGGAACACCGAATCTTTCACTAAGTAATATCTGAACAGCGTCTTCTTGATACCAAAGTCTATCCCAGTGATGGTTGTGTTTTTGTACGTCAGATCCCTTCCTTCAAGGCTATTCATATAGATCTCCATCATGTGCTCTCCTTTCAGCACAGGTAAGAACAGAAGGCTGTATTTCAGCGTCGGTATTTGGTATTCAACAGTCTGAGGGCCGAGGAAATCTTTGTCAACGAGGAAGTGCAGGATTTGGAACACCACACGGGATTGTTTACAGCGGGAGGGAACCGAGGAGCAGCCGCCTTGCTTGGGTCTCTCTGAACAGGCCTCGGTCAGATCTCCTCTGTGGTAGGACGGAGCACATTTGCGCAGAAGGTTCAAAGAATCTGAAACCTGGTGAGGCAGAAAGAGAACAGAAAAAATGAGTTTTGTTGAGATGCATGCTTATCTGTTTTTGGACTAACAATGAAATAAGAACTTAAAGAACACATTTATCTGCAGGTGTGTCAGAAAATATCTTCACAATCTGTTCGCTTTTTGCACGAATGTGTAATTAGTAGTTCTCCCTTCCGGTTCTGCACAGGCGAATATTTGTCCCCCCTTACAGATTATTGATCTTGTTTTCTCTGCAACTTAAATGCCTCATGTCATTAAACCAATTTAAGTATTCAAAAAAGTAGGAAAAAAAATGCTAATTTTTTCATTTAGTCATTTATGGCAGAAAAGTTATCCAGTTCCGCTCCCAAGCTGATAACTAGGATGTATCTTGGCACCACTCTTTCATTTGCAATAACCCTCGCTAAGTCTTTGGAGAAATGTTTCCCACTCTTCTTTTTAGAACAATGTCCGATCAGCCCCATTAGAGGACCTGTTGAATGTGTTCCCACAACTTTGCATTTCATGTAGCTTTTTAGGCCATTTGAGTTAAGCGACGTTCTTTGGATCTTTTATCTGCTGTATCATCCAGGTGTTTTTCAGCCTAAAGAGATACGATGATGATTGGACATTTAGATTATCCTTGTAGAGAGGAGGAATGGGGATTTAATCAATTGAAGCAAGTTGTCCAGGTCCTAAAGCAGTAAAACAGCCCCAAACTATGACAATGCCATCCCAGTGTTTGACTGACAGCATGGTGTTTGTTTTCTGAAATGTCGTACATCCTCCTTCCAAGATGTTCCTCCTTTTTCACCTCACTCCAAAGAATATTTAGTTCGAAATCTTGGAGATCATTAAAATGATATGTATATATTGGGAGGCAGGTGAAACCAGCCCTTTGTATTCTTTTTTACCAGTTCGATTTCATTTCAACTAAATACTTTATTAATCCTAATCGTAATCGTATGGGGGTTTATTCAACGTGTTGTAGTAGATTTGGACGCCTGCTTGCAGGAAGGAGTTCTTTTAAGCCGAGCTTACACTCGATTTTTTGCCCTTATCGGGCCAACTTTCAGCCTAATCATGCGTAGTGCAGTGTACAGTGCGTCACAAGGGCCGATCAGCCAATCACAACCACCTCCAGATCAGGAATTGTGAAGTCGTCTCATATGTAAACACAGAAGCATGGCGGGGGTACGATTGAAATGGAGTTTTTTCTGTTAAATTGACAGACCGTAGTAGCCACATTTGCTCAGCCATGTTTTGTCCAAATACGTCGCCGCCTTTTCTTTTTTGGGCTTTCAGCACAAAATTGCTAAATCGCCAAGGCAGCGCGTTTCACTCTAGTGAGCTTCATATTCCTCTTCTACTCGTTTGGTTTCCGGATAGATGGGTCCCAGCTGTGCCATCTCTCTCTGGGGCTGAATCCGATGTGGTTTTTAGACGTGCAGTGTGAGCAGGTAGATCGCATCAGAGCGAGAAGGCATCGTGTGCTGAGAACTCACACTGTACAACGAAATGCTGCGGTTTTGTCATACAGTGTGAGCTGTAGCTGCATGCAAGGAGTGAAAAAATCAAATAGTGTACGACCGGCTTTATGTGAAACTATCTTCAGAAGTTCTACAGGAGTCCCCAGAACAGCAGTGAAGTTGAGATATGGATGTAATTTTTATGCAGTCTCTGAAAACTAGCTGTGAGGCCAGCAATGCTTTAAAGTGGTTCTGAGTTCTGTTGGGACCTCCTGTACAAGCTCTTGTTGTCTTGGGTTAATCGGGAAGGTTAAATAATCTTTTTTACATGTGTAGACAATGCCCTTCACTGGTTTGCTGCAATCCCAGAAATGACCTTGTAATCATTTTAGACTGATATCAATCACTTTATTTTCCAGCTGTTCTTAACTTTCTTCAGACTGGGGTAAAAAGTGTTGCTTTTCAAGATCTTTTCCCATTCTCCAGTAATTACGCCTGGGTAAAATGTTTTTTTTTTTTTTTTTAGGAATCAAATGGTGCGAATGTGCATTTTTCCATAGAACTGGGCTAGATTGGATGACTCCTTTCACTAAATAACTAAACCAGGTCATTTACAAACCAGGTTTTCTTTAGATGCTTTAAAAAATGTGTTTGATGCCCTGAAGCATTTGATTGTGACACAGAAGTAAAACTAAAGAACTGTTAAAGAGGGAACATGTGTGTGGGTGTGTGTGTGTTCATGTTTTACAGCAATGTATACCACTCATTTTGGATTAAAGGGGACAAATTGAGTAAAATAAAACTGTTTTATTTGAAATGTTGGGTTTAGTTGCTGCAGAGTAAATTTATGCTCTTTGTGTAAAAATTTTCAATCCATTTAGTTTTCTCTATTACCTTTTATAGAGTATCTGCCATGGAACTACTACTTTACAAAGTCAGGGGCTTCCAGCTTACCAGCCCTATCAGCAATTTATATTCCTCACAGTCAATTAGTAGTCTTCAAGGTCCCTGAAGCTACAGGGAGTGCAGGGCCTTGTTCTGACTTAGAGATGGAACCAAAACGAGCTGCTCTCAGAAATATGGGTAAAATAGTCCCCTATGGAGCTATAATACTAAGTAATTTAGAACAAATCATTAAAGTTTCACGTTATATAAACCTCAAATACATATTTCAAATAGGACTTTTAAAGAATTTAAAACCATATGCGCCCTTTTAAAAGTACAGAGAAGAGAATAAATCTGAGATTTTGCAGGAAAAACAAGACAAAAAACTGAGTTTCACTTTGATTTAGTCAACAATCTAAAAGGGTTTGGCTAGCACACTTTGTTTTGAGTTTTAAAAACAAGTTTGGCTTTAAAAATCCTTGGCAAATGGAAAGGATTGTTAACTACAGCCTTATATGTCAAGCCCTGCTGAAACTGGAATCTGGCTGAATTTAGCAGAAACCTGGAATCTAAAAGCTAAACTACAAATTCCCCAGGAAATCTATAGCAGACCCATTCAATTTAAAGTTTAAACAACTGCTGCATCTAGAAAAATGACTAAATCCAATTTGCTTGAAGCTGATAACATAAAAGCTACAGTGCCTGTAGTGAGGTAAGGCTGAGGCAGCTGGAGGCATTGGTGAGGACCGCCAAGTAATTCCCCAAAGACCAGCTTGGACAGCAGCCGCGTCTCGGTGTTCCCTCTGCCTCCACTCCCTCAGGCTGCTGGCAGAGGTCCTGGAACTGAGCCTGGGAGCGAATCTAATTCACAAGAAGGAAAAAAAAAAGTTTCTGAACTCATGCCCAGCTCTGAAACTAATTCACACAAAACCAATTAATTTCCCATGAGATAATGTACAGTCAATCTACTATAGAGCAGGATTAAAATGTAGATTACAGTCAGAGTGTCAAACGGACAAGACACTGATAGAAACTGACGCCTGAAAACAGCAAAAAAGAAAAGAAAGGAAAGCGAAGAGTGAGTGATTGTGAGCCAACCCTGGATTGCTCCATCTCACACATGGCGTGGATGGCCTTCAGGCTCCAGAGACTGGCTGAGTTTTCGGATCGAAACACCAGCTGGGCGAAGCGTTCGCCTGCACAGAGAGAATCAGATGGTGTTAGTGTATGACGACAAGATGGCCAGCATTGAATCATGTGACTGCATGGATAGTTAGAAAGGATCACAGAGGCTAAAAAGTCATGGGAAAATGTGCCAAACAGCAATCAGGCTAATAAATCTAGTTTTGTTGCTTTAAATTCTTGATCAAAAACATCAATGTTAAATATTTAATTGAAAAAAGATACCTTTCCACAGAAAACGGCATTTTAAACACCATCAAACTAAACATTTTCATGATGTAATTAAAGATTTTAATATTTTTTTATATTCTAATCCAGTGTGGAGGAATTTTTCTCTCCATCTTACAGAAACTTTACTTAACCCTTTGATGCCTGTTGTTGCTAATAAGCAACAAACTGCTTGTATTACACTGCAAAAAATGTAAATCTAAGTAAATCAATTTTTGTTGAAATAACAGCATTTTTTTCTTAAACTGAGCATTTAAGCGAGACACTTTGGCATTAGAACAAGACAATTTACATTAAAAAAAAGAAAAAACAACGACTGCAGTCTCTTATTTCAAGTGCATAATATCTTATTATCTTATTTTAAGGGTAAAAATGGCAGATTATCTTATTTTCCTACTCATATTAAAGGTAAATACACTTATTTTAAAACATTTTAACTCATTTTTAGAACATTTTTGCAGCAAAACAAACAGTCACCATAGCGTTTTTGCATCACCCAAGTGCTAGTCACAGTGTATGTTATTATGTAGTTATAATTGCTGTAAGAAAATATACTTTACCTTCATTTCTATTTATTTAGGAACATTAACCATTTTAATTAGGAAAAACATGCACAGAATGCCTTTTCTTTATGTACATGTATATCAATTCAGGCTTTAAGGGGTTAATATAGGTTTTGGGGGGGGTTACTCACCTGGAGAGTCACAGAGGAAGGTGTCCAGAGAAAAGTCTGCAGCCAGCATCCTTTTAAGACGACCTCTGGAAGCGAGCTGACTGTCATTGTTCTCTCTGCTGACAAAGCCCGACCTGGCAAAAGTACAATGTCAGAAACTTTTAACAGATATATGTTCTTACAAATATATCTGAAGTGAAAGGTTACTTTGACTCCAGAATCAATGAGATTTATTTATGGCTGAATTATTTACACAATAATAAACTGCAATAGATCACTTTGGGCAAAATTAAACACATAATTACAAACATAAAGCTTCTGAATATTTGAAAATTTTATGTGAAAAAAGAGGCAGAGTTCCATTAAATAAGTTGGTTAATTGATGGAGATTTTTAGGACATATTTTCATCAGACCTGAGCTTGTAAGCATTCTAGGGGCTAAATATTAGTCTGTGTTTTCCAATCCAAGCCAGTTTGGATGTGCGGATATGTTTTATAAAAAAGTTCATGTTTTAGCCATTTAGCTGTTTTTCAGTTTTTCTTACAATATTTTTAGAAATAACTAGTCGTAATTACAAGCTACTCCTTCCAAAGGGAAGGAAAATAGTAACATGGATAACTGCACTATCAATTAACTAGTTACATAATTTAACCTTACTCTTTATTAATTTAACTTAATTGTAGATTAACCTTAATGCCTTTCTTATTGTTGTAACTTTAAATATAGCTTTTAGTTTGAAATTTAAAAAACCCAAGTTTTAACACTTCTTAAATAATTGATGGTATATTAGGGTATTTTCGCCTTTTTTTTTAAAACCCAACCTCTCCACTTTAAAAAAAAAAGCACATGCACAACCCTGTACCCACTCCCAAGAGGGAACGCCTATTAAACGCATGTACATGTGCATGAGCGCATGCACAGTTTGTTGTTTGCATTCAAAAGAGATTTGCAATTTTTACACAATGCACAAACTCACAATACACAAACTCACCGCCGGAGAAGATAGCTACCAGGGGATGAGCACGGCTTTACATAAACATATCAACAGAATGATTGACAGTTAGGAGAACCACTTATTTTGATGATCCATTTGTTAAAAGTATGTCCTCCACTATAACTTTATTTAATAAAATATCTGTATTCTAATACAGATATTCTAATATTTGCACCGTTACATACACCCTTAGTGTGTGCAATGGGGGAAGTATGAGAAAAGACCTTTAAACGGCAACATCCATCAATGCAGACATAATCATTGATCAAATCTATCAATAATAATAATAATGTTCATCTGAGCAATTCAAAAAGAAATCAAGGAACAATGAAACAAACTAGATGTTTTAGAATTTGATATTTAAGTAGATTGACTTTCCTAAACTGGTTGTAAAACAGATGAAACATGGAAATGAATGCTTGTCAAGCAATATAACAAGAATAAAATCATATTTGAAATTAGAGTAAACAGGGATCACAGTGTGTCAGATGGTAGACTGTACATCTAGTATTTCTGTAAAGACTTTTGTTTAAAGATTTTTGAGTAACACTAAAGAAATGAATTTCAACATACTGCAGAAGCAGCCAGTAGAAAGACATTATTATTGAAGGGTCAGACGATGCAAGTTGCTTTATTAGATTACAGTTGCTTATTAGTGACGTATTTCCAGACATAATGAGCAAATCTCAAGCAGACTTTTCCTTTATCCACCGGGGTAAATAAATGTCTGGTTTAGAAAGGCTGTCATTGACTTTATGCTGCATCATCTCGTGATGATGGTCAGTCTGAGCTGCCCCACTCTGGTGTTCTTGGGTCTGAATGCCTCATTTCTTCATCTAACTTTTCTCTGCACATTTCAGAACAGCTTGGATGAGGTTATTTTAGAGCAGAGGTTTAATTTGTATTTTTTTTTCAAGTTGTCTCAGTTTCCAGCAGACTTGAGTTTTAACGGCTCCTGTGTTTTTCCTGATCACCCAAACCAATCAGATGAATGACACTAGGACCTATTCCAAAACCATGTTGGTTTTAGAATAGTTCTGGCTAATTTTAAGATTTTTATGGCCTTGACCTCAATACTGTTGAGAATGTATGGACTATAAAAGCTGGTTTACTGCCTGGAAACCAACCAATTTAAGGAAACTCTGTCAATTCTGCCAAGAAAAGTGGTGAAACATCCAGCCAGAATGATGCCAGAAATGCCTTGATGACTTTAAAATGAGCGTAGTTTCTCTGCAACTTGCAGAGAAACGGATTTGATCGTTATTGGTGGGGGGTGTATATGTAATTGACCAAATCCCCTTTAAATTCACACTTAATCATGTATTTTTTTAATATAATAATCATTAATATTGGATCATTTATGTTGGTTTATAATCCTCCAAGGAGCAAAAACACTGTTCAGATGCATTACTAAAGGACTAAAATTATTATCACATTCATCACATGGATGAAAAGAAACGTCTCACTGGAACTGCAAAGTTTCTAAATTAATTTAATCTTCATTTAACAGCGACAAAGAGAACAAGCATAGTCACTGAAGTGCTGCATAATAAGTTCATAGCTAATGCTAATTTTAACTCCTGCCCCCAGATTGAGTTTTTATATAAAATAGAAATTACAAACCACACTACTTTAAATAAAAAAGCGCAAAATTGCAAAAAAATGCATCTCCTACACAACTCTTACCTGCTTATAACAATTAGAAATACTGAGAAACTGCTTGTTTCTAATTATTCCCTTCCAGCTTAAGTGTAGACTCTTTTTTGCATTGTTTAAGAGGTTTATTCTCTCTGTTTAGATACTTCTCGTTGTACTCTGACCATCTGCTGACCTTTTGCTGAGTGACTGTGGTAAAGCAGTCAGACTTTTCCCCAGGCCCGTTTCCTGCTGAAGTTTGGACAAGCTGGACAGCCGAACTCCAAGATACGTTCCCCGTGGCTGGAAACCCTAACAGATCAGAGCACAATGATTCACTTAATAACATCTGTGGTGATGTGCTTATGTTTTACTTTCCATATCAATTAGTGTTTACTGTCTAACCATGTATCTTAGAAGGGTGCAGACTTATTTGAATTAGCTCTGATCTAATTCAGCATTAATTATTGATTAGACTGAACTGACTAAATAAGGAGGCATAAAGCAGACCAGTAATCCTTAACAAGGATTCTAAATGTTTTGTTTTATTATTTCAGATTCAAAGTACCTAAAACATACAACTATGCCTAGGTGAGATTTCAATCATGCATCCTGGTGATTCTATGTATGTTATTTACTCACTAAAAGTGGATCAGAGAAGTCTGGCAGAGAGCCAATAAACAGTCCAGCCAAGGAGCATCCCAGCAGCAGTGCGGCACAACCCAGCAGCACCACCAACGGGTGGTCCACTAACAGCCGGGAATACCTGCAGAGACAGAAAACAATCAAAAGAATAAAGAGAAATCGGTGACGGTGGTTTAAAGAAAAAGTGTAGGAATACAGAGAATTAAAGCCCTACCCTGGGATTTAGTACTCACTTTCTAACGATGAAGTAGAGACCACCAGTCCTGTAAATAATTGAAATTAGAAAAAAAAAAAAAATTAGAAAATCCCTTTACTGTCCCAACATTGGAAAATTTTATAATTAATTACAGAACACCATTATTGCAATAGTCACCCATCAGTTGTCTCACATTTATCCTGCATCAGGTGCTGCTTTCCTATTTCTATGCACAGGGGTCTTTCTCAAGGTAAACTAATTCCTTTCCCACTGATTTTGCTTCAACATTCTTCATCCTTAGATTTACAGCTGGATGCTTGTAATGATTTTTTGCCAGTTTCCTCAAAGAACAAGGGGCGACCAAGTCGGTCCAAATAGATCTATTGCTCAGCCTAACAGGCCAGCTCCAGTTCTTCCCCAAAGTGGAGTTGAACCCACGTGGATCAGCTTTTAAAGCTGATGCAAGGTGAGCCCCCATTTCCCTAGTCTTGATTTCAGAAAGGTCCTCCAGTCTCTATATCGCGGATAAGGTACCTAATTCATCCTGATCCTGCTTTATTAAGATCTTTAAAATGCTTTTAGACTGCTGTCCTCCCGATACCAAACAGACATCAAATTTATATAACCCTCTGGATAATAGTTCCCCCTGCAAAGCCCCCGAGCAAAAACTGGTTGAAAAGACCAAACAACGCTTTCATTTGGTTGAAAAGTGAAATGTGAAAATCCACAAGTTTCAGATCATTAAAAAGACTTTTCAAAATCTGTCATTAGACTAAAATGGGACAAAATCAGACCCACCAAACGCAGTCCAATTTTCATCGACTGTTTGTGGACTAAATCAAGACAATGACGGACCAACCGGATTTAGGCCAAAAATAACGTCTAAATGACGTCTGGTTTTTATGGGGGGAGTTAAAGATTCTCTGGAAACAGGATAATTATTAAACACAAAAATAAGAAATGCCACATTTAACATAATTAGGAGATTAAAACAATGGAATAATGATTGATATAGTCATGCTTCATGTATGGCACTATTTTAAAAATACATTTGAGTGAAAAGCGGTTATTTTAAATGAGAAAAACAAGACTTAATATCGCTCTTTTCTCATATTTGATTTGTTGAGATGAATTAAACATTTTTTGTTTTTAAATCACCATCATTGTAACATGCCATCAATAGGAAATCATAGTTTGTGTGTAAAGAAATAAAATGACAAACATTAAACCATGTTGGGTCTTTCCTTTCTAACCCACCTTACTGACACCACATGACGCTGCTTGGGTTTGGTCTGGGCCCTGCTCTCGTTTGACCCGTGCAGCCAGTGACACCTTGCTGACCCATGACAGGACGCCTGATGGGCAGAACCACAGCTGTGCTCTGATTTCCCCGCCACTCCTCCGTCACCATGAGGACAAGCCGTGTTCGAATGACAGCTGTGGCAGCAGTGGGGTTGGGATGAACTGTGACGGCTGCAGTGGGGGCATTTAGGGTTCTGCTGCGAGTGACAGGATCCAGTGTGGAGACGCTGGGGGACCTTAAGAAAGACATATATAAAAAGACCTAAAGCATCACACTATTTATGTTTCTTTTTATACTGTTACAAACAGAAACTTCACTGTAATTTATTGGGATTTTTGCTTGATGGTGGTCTTTCTAAGCTGACAGAGAGCTTGAATCAGAAGAGGTCTCCTGAGATGAAGAAATGAACTCTGTTGCAAGGATAACTATTACATGTGGAAGAGAATACTCCTGACTAAGTAACTCACTGGAAAACTAACCCAGGCTTTAGTATCTCAAGTTTGAAACACGGTGGTGGCAGTATTATACAGTGGGTTGGAAGGAGCTACATACTGAACAATCCTGGAGGAATTTTTTAGAGGATGAAAAAATATGAGATTGTTACAGTAATTCACTTTCATACAGAATGAAGCTGAACATCCAGAAAGAGCTCCAACTAAATGCCTTAATTTAAAGCATTTATTTTTCTTCTAGATTGGCCTAGTCAAAGTCCTGACCTAAATCCATCATAAGGGTTTTGGAAAACTCAGAGTGGTTTAATAGATTACTGCCACACTTTCCTATTTTTATTAATAAAAGTTCTTTAAACCCCATTTTCCAGAATTCCTAATAAATATAATGACAATAAAACACATAAATTAGAAAGCATTTGAATAATATAGTGTCAGTTTGGCAGTCCATCCTAAATATAGCAGGTATTTCACTAAATGCTGATCACAGTGCTGCAGTCAGAGCTCAGACATACTTGATGGTAAAGCTGGAAGGAGGAGGAGGGTCTGCCAAGGCTGCTGCAGCTGTCACAGAGCTCCTCTGTAGAGGGGATGACTGTCAGCTGGGCCTCAACGGAGCCATCAGGGGGGCACAGAGAAACCACCGGGATGCAACTGAGCAGAGAAGAGACAAGGAGAAATATGTACAGCAAAAACATAAGAGGGGGAAATAAGTGGAAGAGGGGTAATAGTGACAGAAGCAACGAATAAATCCAGTTCGTGCTGTGTGGTTTTCTGCTATTTGTATGGTTTCCTCTACAGAAAAAAAGCTAAATCCAGCTGAATTAATGAGGTAAGAAATGAATTTCTAGAACACATTGTAGATTCAGAATGTAAATTGGCCAATAACAAAAGAGGAAGAGGAAGGATTTATTTAGGATTTCACATCATTGTAATGTGTCTTGTGGTTAAAGGGTGTTAGCCAGCCGTCCAAGAGCAATCACATAAAACAAGAATGTCCTTCCATTCCATCCATCCATCCATCCCTTCCTCCCTCCCTCCCTCCAACCTTCCATCCATCCATCTACCCATCCCTCCATCCAATCCATCCACCCATCCCTCCATCCAATCCATCCACCC